AGCTAAATCCCCAGCCCCTATTTATTGTCTTTTTGAGACAGGGTCTCATTATGCAGGTTGGGCTGGCCTTGAACTCACTTTGTAGCCCAGGCTGGCCTCCAACTCACAACGATCCTCCTGCCTCAGCCTCCCGAGTGCTGGGATTACAGGTGTGCGCCACCACGCCCGGCATCTTGGTTCATTCTTAATAAGCCAAGTTTCAGGTTGAACATATACCCTTCTTCCACAGAGCCTGTAGACTCCTCAGGCTGGGTACTCCTGCCTGGTAGACTCCTCAGGTACCTGCTCTGGGCTACCATAGCCCTACCTGCTCTCCACATCACAGCTCTGGCCATTCTGGGTTTTCACTCTCAGGGGCACCTCTCCCACTTGACTGTGAGATCCAGGAAAGCAGGGAAAGTGGGGCTCCTAGGTACCCTGGTGTTATGGTTTGGATTTGGAATGTCCCCCAAACTCAGGTGTTAAAGGCTCAGTTTCCAGCTGATGTGCTTTGGGGGAAGCAATTGGATCATGAAGGGCTCTAACTTCAACAAGTGGATTAACCCACTGATGAGCTCAGGATTTGATAGGCTTATGGGAGGTGATGCAAGTGGGCGGAGGTGGGGCCTCGTCAAAGGGAATAGATCATGGGCCTGTGATGCTGGGAAATCAGTCTGTCTCCCGTCCCCTCTCTCTAGCTGCTGAGAGATGGGAAGCTTTCCTCTGCTGTTTCTGTTTTGCCACCAACCTAGAAGCAATGGAGCCATGTGACCAGAGACTGAAGCCTCTGAAATCATGAACCAAAATAAACTGTTACCCTCTGAGTTGTTTTTCTCAGGTACTTTGTTCAAGGCAGGGAGAGGCTGACGGGCACACTTGGCCAACACTGAAAATCGTACACAGACAGTGAATCCTCAAAGGCAGAGAAGAAGAGTCGGGTGGTCTGGAAAAAAACTGAAGCTTGTGGCTCATGATTTATTGCTCCCTTCTTTGTGCCTCCTTTCCCAGAATGCCCTCCTCCCAGGCAGGGCGGGGGCCTAGTCGTACTGGTGGGAGGGGTAGGTGTTGTGCCCGTTGTACTCATCGGTGGTCAGGCAGCGCAGCATGAAGTGGCCCAGGTCATGTTTGGAGATGACCCTTGAGGGCCCCCGTCCATCCAGGGTCACTGTGTAGGCCCCAGTGAGCGGCTGATCCCCTGGGAAATAAGACAGAGGGACAGATGGGTGAAAGTGTGTCCTTTCCCAGGTCCCAACACGTGAGCTCAGGGTACTTACCAGGGGGCATAACAGCCAGGGAGGGGATGCCATGGACCAGGGCTTGCTACGCCCTTTGCTTCACTTGTCCCACATATCCTTACTGGTTATTGCTGTAGTAATAGTAGTACCCTGCACACACATACGCCCAGTGCTGGGGACTGAATGCAAGGCCTTTGTACTGAGCTACATCCCCAGCCCTTTTTAATTTTTATTCATTTATTTGTTGTTTTTTGTTTTGTTTTGTTTTTGCTTTTTTTCTGGTACTGGGAATCGAACTCACGACCTTGCGCTTGCCAGGCAGGTGCTGTGCCACTGAGTTAAACTCCCAGCCCCTTCATTTATTTTTGTGATAGTGGTGATTGAACCCAGGGTCTTGACACTGAGCTATAGTGACTGCCTCCAGCCCTGTTTTATTTTATTTTATTTTATTTATTTATTTATTTTTTTTCCAGTACTGGGAATCGAACTCATGCCTTGTACTTGCCAGGCAGGTGCTGTGCCACTGAGCTAAGTCCCCAGCCCCTTTATTTTTATTTTTGTTTTTTTTTTTTTCTCAGACAGGGTCTCACTATGTACTTCAGGCTAGACTTGAATTCACTGTGCTCTCCAGGTTGGCAATCGTCCTGCCTCACCTTCTGAGTACTGGGATTCCAGGCCTGCACCACAATGACCAGCCCCTTTTTACTTTTTATTTTGAGAGGGGTCTGGCTAATTCGCCCAGGCTGACCTGGAATTTGAAATCCTCTTACCAGTTGGGCGTGGTAGTGCAGGCCTGTAATCCCAGTACTCTGCAGGCTGAGGCAGGAGGAAGTGCATAGTGAGCCCCTGTCTCAATAAAAAACAAAAACAAAAAAAGAAATCCTCTTACCTCAAACTCGGAGGCCAGCTTTGTCATGGTAATTATCTAAAAAGCCCTCCCCTCCCTCAGGGATGGGTGTGGGGCACAAACCAGTAATCCCAGCATTCTGAGAGGCTGAGGCAGGAAGATTGCAAATTCAAATCCAGGCAACCTGGGATTTATGAAGACCCTATCTCAAAATTAAAAAAAGTGGGGCCGAGGATATAGCTCAGTGGCACAAGCACCTGCCTGGCAAGCACAAGCTCCTGGGTTCGATCCCCGCTACCAAAAAAACCAAAATAAAACAAATCAAAATAAAAAAAATTCTGGCGACGACATAGCTTAGTGCAAAGGCCCTGAGTTCAATCCCTAGTATGGTCAAAAATAAATAAGTGAAATGACCACAAAAGCTCATTGTTGAAGCTATGGTTGCCAGCAAATGGGCTTTTTGAAGGATTCAATCATAAGGGTGAGCTGGGTGTAGTGGTGCACGCCTGTAATCCCAGCACTTGGAAGGCTGAGGCAGGAGGATCGTTGTGAGTTCGAAGCCAGCCTGGGCTAAAAAGTGAGCTCAAGGCTAGCCTGAACTGCATAGAGAGACCCTATGAGAGACCCTATGAGAGACCCTATGTCTCAAAAAGACAAAAAAAAAAAAAAAAAAAAAGTCATGAGGGTGCTCACTTCGTGGATGAATCCACTGGTGGGGTGGTAACTGGATGGGCTTATAGGGTGGTGATGGAAAGGAGATGGAGTCAGCTGAAGGGAGTGGATCTTAAATATTGAGTTTGGGATTACATCTCACCCCTGGCCTCTTCCTCTCTCTGGACATCTCACTCTG